ATCGATGAAAATTTCTCAATATTTTCGGGCGCCCTTAGCCTCAAAAAATTTATTATTTAAATTTTATTCGGTGACAAACATTGGAGGATCATTAATACTAGAACTACCAAAGCATTCAAAATGACCCATTCGTAATTTCAATAAGAGAATGAATAAACATTTATTACCATTGCATTATACACTTCTTCACGTATCTATCTTTGGTACAAATAAATGCATTATAATTGTCGGTACTTCTAGCGCTAACACTTTATTATTTTTCCATTCCTATTTATAATTTCCCCCTTTTCGAGACCTCCTAAATCCGTCACTGGTCTTGGAAGTTTAAAAGAGTCGTCACCTTCCAATGAAAACTTTCCTCGAACACGAAGGTTGAAAATCTAAATTTTGGTCACGAATTATCGCTTCCCGAGATCGCTATGCGACAGTGGAACGAAGATTTCTCTTCGATCATTGTCGCCAGGTCAGCTCGCGAAGCACCCAACCTGGCTCGTTTGTCCATTTGCCGTACCTATTTTATATCGGCCAAATGAACAGATACCGCTGATTTTGAAACACCAAGGTTACCTGCAAGGTCTCGAGCAGTTTGCTTTGGATCCGGTCCAACTTCAGCCTTTGACAACTCATTGTCGACCTTAGCTTCCCAGCCGCAATTTTAAGAGTTGTATCTCTCGACCGAAATTTCACGAACCGATCTTGCGCTCTCCGCACTTCCATGGTGTCCTTGTTCCGGCGCTTCGTTAATATTTCGACTTCCAGTTGACGCATTACGATCGAGTTCAAGCGAAAAAGTAAGTCGAAAATTGCGGAATACATGGAGTACGACTTGGACATCAGTAGCAAAGTAGGTTACGGTCAGACGCGTTAACGAGATTAACAAAAACTTGATATACTGTCGATAAATTTCTAAAATTTTGAAAATCGTTACACCACAAGGACGAGTAAAAATTCGCGACTCGGCTGGAGAGCACCCAATTTTTAAATGACTTAATTCTTGCATCGTCTGTCTCTAATATAAATTCTTGGCTTCCGGTTACATAAGTCCGGCGTAAGAATCGTTACCAAGAAGGTTCCACGCACGGTAAAATATCGGTTTGGAGCGAATTCGAGCGTTCGTCGGTTCATTTTTAAGCGCGCAGAATGCAGTTATTTCGGGTACAATATAATAGAGCCATTCAAGGCGGACGTAATTTATTTTTTTCTCATAACCCAGTCTGTTGGCCCCCAGCCGCTAAATTCGTTCCCTCGGCAAGAGTATCGAGCCAATTACCGTACGCACTTCCCGTGAAAGCGTGCAGAGACCTCGTTTCAGAAGTTTTCAACGACGTTCGACGGTATAGATTTGTTTTTCTGGTCGGCGCGCGTCGACACGCTTTTGAAGATTCGAAAAGTTGTGTATTTCGTTTAATTGGCCGGCTTCGCGCCGCGACAAAGTATTTTCAGCTTCGATCGCGTCGCGCTTCGGCCTCCTCGGCGAGATATGCTCGCTAGCCCGCGGCCCACAGTTAATTGCAAAATAAAATTTCTCGCGACAAGGCTTCTGATCGTTTTTAATATCAAGAATCGACCGGAATGGTCATACCCCCACTCTGCACCGTCGTTTCTGGTCGGCGTAAATTTAGAAACGAGATGTCGCGCGGGCCTCTGGACCGCTAAGAAGCAACGAAATTTCGTTAGCCAGAGGCAAGCTGAATAGCCACTCGATCTTGTATGGCGGCCGTGTGTGCACCTAAAAAGCATGAATAAACCCGCCTTCCCTTCAGCCATCGCGGAACACTACTTTCTCGCCGGCGATCTTTTGTCCACGCTGGAGAGCACATTTTTTTTCTCTTTTTTAAATCGATGTATCGGTACTTGGCCCTACGCTCGCACTGTGTTACCGCGTATATAATCAAATCTCTTCCCTTTTCGCGCAAAACCGGTAGATCAAATGCGAGACCGGATGTTTTTCATTTTTTTCAAACTCGTACCATCGACAGGAATTCCATAAAAGCTTTGCTAATAACATCACTAGGATGGATCTAGTTTTTAATCACGATAATTGTTTAATCTAAATTCCACGCTCGGATTGTTATCTTTTTTCATAAATCTTTGACGCGCAATATTCCTCATTCCTTCGAATTATTTACGAGTAGCGTTCCCTTTTCACGATTTTAACTACGGGAGCGTCGCGTTAAAAATGTTCTAATAAAACTTGGTTTGTACCGTGGTTGACTGGAAACACGGAGTCGTAAAGGTTGTATGATAAAACGCTTCGAGCCGATTAATCTCGCAAGAAATTTTTTAATAGCATCTCTATCATAAAAACGCATTCTAGGAGCGAAAAGACGGATTTCTCTCGCATCGTGAACATCGCTCAGGGGCATTCTTTATAGCTCGTTGCAGTACAATAGGTTTGAGGGTTAACGAGGTTAGTAGCGACACGGTTTAAGAAACCAAGAGTTTTTTCATAAAATTGTTAACAGTTTTAGCGACGTGCCGCGACCGCTTCGCACCAAACTAATTCCGCTGTTTTTGAGTTCTGGGCCACGTATGAAAATCAGGCCGCTCTTTATTGGACCGTATTTAAACTATAGTGAAAGAAATATACGCTGTAATTTAAATAATATCTAAATAAGAAGCATAAAACGTTAAATCAATTCATTTGTCGTAATAGTAAAAGGTAAATGTTGGAGGTATCATAAAGACAGGAATATCGGTTCGTTACCAAGTGAGTCGTGACTGAATTGCATTACATAACATAGATAACACTGACAAGTAATAATAGGGATCATAAATTATAAATAAATTACATCACGTAATAATTAAGTACTGAGTTAAAAGTACAATCAGTTACCTGACAGAAAAACATGCTAGCATTAGTCACAGAAAGAGATAATAAATTGAAAAAAAAGAAATTATTGGATAATTGAGGTGTTGTTTTTAATTGTACATATACATAGACGCAAAGATGAGATTATTTTAGCTGTAGAATAAAATGTTTCTTAGTGAAAAGGATCACAAAAATCGTAAATTTGAAGAACATGTTTAAAACGATATTTCTGGACATCGATTTTCCATGAACAATCCAAGCTATTAAAGCAAAGTTAGTTCTGTTTATAATTTCGGCAAAATTGACTGTACACGAGGCACGCGGGCTTATGAGAAATACGGAAAGTGACGTGTGGCTTTCCCAGTAGCAAAAGCTTCCCCACCTCTGTGTTAAACCTATTACCAAGAACAAATTAATTCGTTGGAAGTCATTTTATAGCGTGGCCCAAAAGATACGATTTATAAGGTCGGTTCGTTTAAGGGAGTAAATTTGTTTAACGGTGAGTAAATAAACTAACCTAATCGCAAGCAATCCCATCGAAACCAAAAACGAACTTGTTTACGGTGATAGGAATTTTGGCGGGATCTCTTGATTATCTCTCAGCTTTCGATCCGGGTTATTTTCTTCTTGGGAACGAATTCTGGTATAATAGCAGTCGAGTTGCTATCTGAATTTTCAATTAAGGAAACTGGCCTTCTTACGACATTCGCTCGAGCGTTAAAATTAGCATAAGGAGTAATTGGTAGATTCTTGATATTATGAACTTATGATAACGACTACAGGTGAAGTTAATATTTCTGGTAAACATATTAGACAAAAAGATTACATTTGACTAGTATAATTTACAAACAATTAATTTAAAAATTGGAAACAATAGCTCTCATCGTTTTTATAAATTTCCAACCCGCTCCCGTTATTCTTTTCACAAAGTGACAAATGACCTGTGCATCGTAACATTGCACAAAATTCTTTACCCTTGAAAAGGGGTTGCATCATTACCTATGAAGCAAGTTTTTAAACGTTATCGGCGGAAAAAAGCAGCGATAGTTTTTCTTACGGACCGGGCCGTGTAGCTAGAATTGCGAACGTGTAACTTATCACCTGTATCCAACCACCCCTTCCGTTACGATACAATCCAATAACAGCGTTCATCCGCTATCACAGTATCGTCAACAGTTACGGTACACAAAAAAAAAAACTGGAGATGGGTCGTGCGTGGGAGGGGGGGGGTTGAAAAACATTCTCTATCGCGATATTCAAAGCATTCGAACAATAGAGTACGGGGCGTTACAGCCCGAATTCCCTTACGAGGGTCGTTGCGTCGTAAATATACCCCGACCTCTTCTCGTATTCGTTGCATGACAAAGACGTTATTATTATTATTCTCACGTGGAAGGGACTGGAGTCGGTCCGGCGTTACGCGACTTGGCGAGGCTGAGAGGCCGGGGTCTGAAAATTTCGTGGGGGTTGGAAGAGAGCGGAGCAGAGCAGAGAGCCAGAGGAGAGCAAGCACACGGGGCAACGTCCGGGCGACGAGGTCCGGCAGAGGCAGCCAAGCAGGGATGCAGGGATGCAGGTGAGGCGGCCAGTGTCCCATCTTTCGGGCGGTGGTGGTTCGTGATCGTGGCGGTGGAAAATGGTGGTCCAGCTAGGCAGCAGCAGCAACACCAGCAGCAGCAGCAGGGATAGAGAAACGTGGTTGGTCGCGATCGGCTGGGGATTTCGCATCTCTGTATCGGCGCCTGATCCGTGGCGAAGAAGGAGCCACGGTGGCCGCCGCCACCGCCACCGGCACCATCGCCGCCGCCACCACCGCGTTATTGATTTGACAGGAATGACGGGAAATGGCGCAGGAATCGATAAGAGGTGGTCCCAAGCTGGTGGTGGCTCTGCGCGGGTGTACGGTGCGCGCGGGTGAACGAAGCGGGTGTAGGAGCCGGGCGGTAGGGGTGGGAAAACGGGACGAGAGAGAGAAGGACCGGCGTAGGTGGAAGCGAGAGAGAGAGAGAAAGGAAGATCGCGTCGAAGGGAAGGGGTTTAGGTGGAAAGCTCCTCTCTCTGTTTCGGGGTGGGGTGGAGAGAACGGGGAGGCGGAGAAGGGGGCGCCGGAGCGGAGGCAGCAGAGAGTATATTTTCATACTCCAGACTCCCGGCGTAGGTAGAAGATGGCAGCCGAGGCGTGATTCGAGACCGGGACCTTCACTCTCTCTCTGGGCGCGCGCGAGTAGGGGGTCGATCCTTCGACGTACGGACCAGAGATCGCGGAAGTAGTGCGCTAGCGTGGTGCATTATCGCGTGTCGTCCAGTGTACCAGCGGATCCGCGATGTTCTAGGAGGACCCGTCGTTCGTCTGTACCGTCGGTGCCGGGTTTGTCCTCCTATATCGCCGCGAGCCTTTTCACCTACACTCCTCTTAGCGAAATTCTTCGCTCTTTTCGCTCCGCGTCATCATCCCGCTCACTCGCCCGTTTCTTTTCTCTCGTGTTCTCTCTCTCTCTCACACACACACATACATACACACTCTCTGTCTTTGTGTGCCACCGTGTCTCTCTCGTTTCCCTCGTCCGCTCTCCACGGGTCCCGACTACTTCGGTTCTCGCTTCCGTGACAAATTCTTTTCGTTGCTCGTCCGCAACCGACACCACATACACACACACACACACACGCATACACACAGATCGTATACGTTCTTCCCACCGTTCCCACTTTTCCCCGTTCTCTTTTCGGTTTGTGCCTACTGTTCGTACACCTCTGTTCGGTTTCTCGGCTCCGCTAACCACACACGCTCCTACGACCCGAGACCCGCCGTTAACCCAGTCAGTCAGTCGTGTACTCATGATCCGACCGGCGACCAGGTAGTATCGCTGATTATGCGCGACATGATCACCAACGCCATCGTAGTAGTGTTTCACGAGCGTCACGTAAAATGGAATTAAACAATGTTGTTAAGACGTAAACATGTTTTGGCTACACTGTGGACTCTTTGTTCTCGTGATTGCCGTACCTGGATTTATTAGCAGCGCCGACAGCACGTCCAAGCGAGGTAACGCCTGCCTGTCTGCCTACTTGCCTGCCTAACCTGCTTGCTCGCCTGCCTGTCTATCTGTTTGTCTAACCGTTTCCACCCCCTCTCCCCACCTGCCCCCCTCAACCCCCTAACGATTACCTGCCTGTCTGTCTATTCGCAGCCCTGCCACGCCGGTTTATCTTTCCATCTTCACGCACCCGCCCGATACATACGTGTGTTTGCTCGACGTTCGTGTTTTTCGTGGTTACGGTTATTTCGATGCGTTTCGGTGTTCTCTGGCCGACAGGGAACATCCACCAGCCCTCCTCTGAATCCCCAAGGGGAAACCGCGAGAAATTTCCTGCGCGACGAGGGTGGCCGTCGGCGTGGCCATGCCTCCTCCGTCAGGCGGTTACTCTCTCTCGATGTCCTGGGAACGCGCGCGGTCTCGCCTCGGGTTTCAGCTTCCTTCCTGATTTACGCTCGTCGTCCACGCGATCCTGTAATTTCGTGCATCGCCCCGGTTCGCGTCTCGAAGGCCCGTTTCAGCCGCCTCCCATCGCACGGGCGTCTTTTCGCCTCCCCGGTTCTCGTAAATTTTCTCCACTGACATCTCTCTCTCTCTCTCTCTCTCTCTCTCTCTCTCTCTCTGTCTCCGTCTCTCTCTTTGGCACTCCTCCCTCTGTCCGTTTCCCTGTCCCGCGGTCGTTAATCGTTCGCAGGCTGGCATGGCGTGTTCCGGTTACACACGATTGCCTGTTGCAGACGCGCCCGAGAATTTTCGGCCCCGCGATTGTTATCCGGCCTCCAAGCACGGATCCGCCTCTCTCTCTCTCTCTCTCTCTCCCTTTCTCTCTCTCTTTTTCACTCTCTATTTCTCTCTCTCTTCTTTTCTCCGCGTGCGTTTTACGGCCACGCGAAGACGAGTCGCTACACGCTCGCGCCGACACGTTTACTCCTCGGTCCCCCGTCGATCGGATTCGAATTTTCGAAATTCTCAGGAAAAATCGTGTACTTCGCGAATGATACGAGACGATCTCGATGGAACTTTGCGCGACTGTTTGCTGGCCCGACCTAGGAACGTCGTGTACCGTTGCTGATATCTTTGTACTTCGAGGGAGAAACCACCCTTTTTATCCGACTCGCCCCTTTTACAAGCACGCATGTAAATCGTAACTTACGATGGGTTCTCGAGAATCCTTAATCGGGGATAGAGGTGGCATCGTCTCCCTGCTTGTTGATATTTTTGGGAAATCAAAGCTTTTGAAACGACGCGTATAGGATGATTTATCGCACGACGCTTCTGTTCTTCCGAGATTCATAATCAACAACGCTGGTCCACAGCGAATATATATTCTTCGTTTAAATAGACAATTCTGAAACCTACTATGACCACAATTTAAAAAATGAATATTAAATTGTACTGAGGGGTATTTTTGCTTTTATATTTTACCTGATCTGCAGTGTAAGAAGTCTATGTTAGAAGTAAAAAACTGATCATAAACAATATTAAATAGACTCAAACATATATAAATATAATAAATGATCAGTGACAAAGATAAATTACAAGCAAATATCTCAATTTTAGGCCACTTCAATTAATATCGTGCTCTATTATTTTATGTATAAATATACTGCAATTTACATGTACTTTTGCAAAGCCTTACTGTTCAAAAATGTCAACAAAGGATTCGATATCTTCTTTGTCTCTAATTAAGAATTTTTATTCGTTCGGCTTTGAGGCACGAAAATAAGAAATTTCTGATACCCGTAAAGAGCAATTTTTCTAACGAAAAATGAGTTCCTCCACCCTGTTTTTCCAGAAATCTTTACTTCTTACGAATGAATAAAGGCTTCTTTTTACTGTATATTCGACGATAATAATGTATACCTACTGCAATTGCTGTGTGTGAAATTGTTGCTCAACTTTTGTGAATCTCTGTACTAAATGATATAAGTGTTTTCTCTTTGCTTGAAAATTCTCGAACAATTAGTAAATAAAACTAAGAATAATTGCGATAAAGGCTTTCTTCACGAACAGTATACAACGATAATTATATAAAAATGCAAAAAAATAGAAAATGCAATTTAATTTACGCTTACAGAAACTCAATTTCATTTATCCAAAACAGACACGGACTACTTTCGTAATTAATCAAACAGAATGCCCCTGTTTCAACAACACCAAAAGCAAATTTTGAACACGACGCAGCCGGAAAATTGCTTTATAGACAAAATCAATGCGTTCCTTAAACATCGCTGGCAGAAACTCGATCTCATTTATTCAAAACAAACGCGGACTACTTTCGCAATTAATTAAATAGAGTTTGCCCGTCTTAGCGACACCAAAAGCAAATTATGTGCCCGACGCCACTGAAATTGCTTCATAGACAAAATCAACGCGTTCCTTGAACGTTGCTAGCCGAAACTCAATTTTATTTATCTGAAATAGACTCAAGACTTCTTTCATAATGAACGTCTCGGAGCGTTTCCGAGGCCGAAATAGAACGAAAGCGGGAAAGAGAGAAATGGTTTTCTCGGAGGAGGAAGGGGGGGGGGGCGAACGAAGGCCGAGGAACGACGATTCCGCGATAGAATAGAGCGTATCCTGAATAGACAGGGCGTGATATGTAATGATTACCGTGCATTTCCGCGGCGTTCAATCCGGGGAATGGCATTATTCATAATCTGATTGCGTAAAGTTGCCCACGCACTTTGCATGCCGCGATCAGCCGGGTCTGCGCGTAAAACAGCACGCGAATCCGTGTCCCGCGCGGACATTATTGCTCGTTGTTATCGATTCTTCTCGTCGATGTGTGCAGCGCGCATATACGCGCGAGATCGCGAAACGCGTACACGCGATCCTCGCGCACACGCTCTCTCTCCCGACAGTAAATAAACGATATTTCGATCGTTGACCACCGTTTCCACACAGGTGAAACGTTGCGCGACGCGAATAACATCGTCGTGCTCGCGAATGCATTTTTTTTTTTTTCGTCGCGCGACGTGCACGCCATTAACGACCGAGGACGGTAATTAATGCTAATTTCGGGCAAAGGAATTTTAATTTGTATTTCCTTAGCCATTATTGTTTAAAATTTCGAGGTATTTCTAAATATAAACACTCAAAAGAGAATAATATTCGAAGAGCTATGCGTTAAATGCATAACTATGTACTGTTTAGAGTTGAAAAGATGACGAGTCGTCTGAGGACGATGATAAATGCTAATTTCATGCAACGAAATTTTTATTCGTACTTCCATAGCCATTATTGTTTAAAATTTTGAGGTATTTCTAAATATAAACACTCAAAAGAGAATAATATTCGAAGAGCTATGCGTTAAATGCATAACTATGTACTGTTTAGAGTTGAAAAGATGACGAGTCGTCTGAGGACAATGATAAATGCTAATTTCATGCAACGAAATTTTTATTCGTATTTCCTTAGCCATTATTGTTTAAAATTTCGAGGTATTTCTAAATATAAACACTCAAAAGAGAATAATATTCGAAGAGCTATGCGTTAAATGCATAACTATGTACTGTTTAGAGTTGAAAAGATGACGAGTCGTCTGAGGACGATGATAAATGCTAATTTCATGCAACGAAATTTTTATTCGTATTTCCTTAGCCATTATTGTTTAAAATTTCGAGGTATTTCTAAATATAAACACTCAAAAGAGAATAATATTCGAAGAGCTATGCGTTAAATGCATAACTATGTACTGTTTAGAGTTGAAAAGATGACGAGTCGTCTGAGGACGATGATAAATGCTAATTTCATGCAACGAAATTTTTATTCGTATTTCCTTAGCCATTATTGTTTAAAATTTCGAGGTATTTCTAAATATAAACACTCAAAAGAGAATAATATTCGAAGAGCTATGCGTTAAATGCATAACTATGTACTGTTTAGAGTTGAAAAGATGACGAGTCGTCTGAGGACAATGATAAATGCTAATTTCATGCAACGAAATTTTTATTCGTATTTCCTTAGCCATTATTGTTTAAAATTTTGAGGTATTTCTAAATATAAACACTCAAAAGAGAATAATATTCGTAGAGCTATGCGTTAAATGCATACTATGTAATGTGTACATTTGAAAAGATGACGAGTCGATGGAATCTGGATACGATTAGTTTCTTTGGGCTGTCGTGTATTATTGGTCGAAGCCAATAGTAGTCACATTTATCTGACCCAGACCTACTTCTATGTCACAGCATGCCACCAAGGGTCGAACGGTGGTGGCTAGAGGAGCGTCGAAGGTGGGGGTCGTGTGGAGTATGTAGGGTACCCCTCTTACCCTTGTGCCCCATCCCCCCTAATCATCTTTCCAGCTCTGCATAGTACTTTTAACCAGCTGTTTCGCGTGATCTCTGTACGCGTGGAGGTCGTTTCATAAGCTTAGTCGTGTCTCGTGTATTGCAAAGTATGGAACAAATAGCTTTTGGATTTAATTTTCAATAAATTATGTACTTAAACTCTTTTGCCGTGAAAGCGAGTATCATCTATTTTATGATATTATTTAGCTGGACACTATAAATTCATCGTGACCCCTTGAAACGTTTTCTAGATACAATTAAATTTTAATTATAATTGTCAGTGCCCCGTTGAGTGCAATAATAAGTAGCTTATATTGTTTACTAATGTATACCAAACAGAATAGTGGTGGTTTAATAAAAATAAATTCGGTGGATTTTAGAAAATTAAATGATTTGTTCGAACTGAAATGATTTATGCGGTAATGCAACTTGCAAAGTGCAACGACACCCATCTTCTTAAATAGATATAGTTTTTCTTGCATAAATCGATCCCCTGGGTTGCTCTGCATGTACAAGCGTTATGGTAATATGATCGTAAACTAAACGGTTCACGAGATATTCCAAGTTTCTTACTACTACTTACGTGCACATGCATGTTATGATACTAATCAAGCGTGAAAAAGATCGTCGGGACAAGAAAACTGTTTAGTTTACAATCTTATTATTACAATATTATGGTACGTGTTCTAAGCAAAATTATATACATCCATTGA